GGCCTAGAACGCTGCCGGCTTCGCTGATTGGCGGGAGCCGAGTCGGTGCCGTTGGAGGGCTGAGGCGGCGGCCTGCAGGTGAGGGCGGTGGCCCGGCCGCGGCGCTACCTCAGCCCCGGGAGCGCCGAGGCCAGGCCTGGTGGTTGGGGCCGCCCCCCCGAAACGAGGGGGTTTTTTTTGGTTTTTTTTTTTTTTTTTCTTCTTCTTCCAGGTGACACGGCAGCCTCTCCGGCTGTAACGGACCGGCTCCCGCCACCGGGCGAGGAGCTGGGAGCAGCGATGGGAGGCCGGCGGTCTCCATTAGAACCGGGCTTACTGCAACAGGCAAAGTTAGGGGGTGACCTCTGGGTATCCGAAGAGGATGAGGAGTTCGAGGGTTTCAGGCGGGAGGCGGCAGTCCTGCGTGACAAGCTGTGGGAGGCTCTCAGGTAGGATGGTACCCGGTAAGGATGGCAGAATGGCATGTGGGAGTCTTGCTGTGTCTGACCTGTGACGGGGCAGAGTGTGAAGTCCCAGGATGCACGTATATAGGTGCCAAAATGCTGGCCACAAATCTATCCACAGATGGGAGGATGGGGCCAACAGGTGCCCACATAAGAAGTGTTCACATAAAACACGAACAGCACAAACCCCATTCCTGCTCATCAGCTAATCATGCTTAAAATTTGCTAGCAGATCATCCACGTTCCTATCCAGCATTCAGTCTTCAGAGCTGTGGTCTCTCTCTCCAGCATCTAGCTTTTACACCTCTTGTCTTTCTCTGTGGTTAGTCCAGCTTGCAATTCACTAGCAGATCACACACACACACACACTCTTACAAAGGAAATAATTTATGAAGAATGGACTGCAGCAATCACCAGGCAAGTGTATTGAACAGGAGCCTGTTTATGCATGATCAGCACCTTCCGTTCCCCCCGCTTTTTCCCATTTTCCTGTTCTTGGCCCACCCAGATGTGATCCACTTTGATCTTTCCTTTTACCCGCATTTATTCCTTCCCTAAATATATCACAAGTTTTACTCAGTTTCACAATCACCCTCAAACATCTATAAGAAGTTTGCTATTTCAATGAGACCCGTGATAATCTTGGGCTTTTTTCTTATCAATTATATGACCTTCTTACCAACTACAAAGTGCCAGCTGAACCTCTTAGGAGTTGCGCTAAAGCAGTTCCTTGCAATGGCCCTTCCATCAGCGTCTTAGTAATGCTGGTGTTAGGATTTGTGCATCTGTGTGCCTAATTTATTGCTTCTCCTGAGTTTGTCTTTTATGCTGAGTAGCTATCAGCCAGATATCCCTAAAGTTGGAACTTTCTGGTTTACTTGTGGCCTTTCTGGCAATAGACTGCTAGCAGCATAATAAATTGCATTGCAGAGCTAAGTAGGCATAACCACCATTTTATACATGGAAAATGGAAAACAAGCAAAGCTCTGCTTAAAAACTTTGGTAGCAAAGCAAAATATAGAGCATGAGAACAATAAGCCCTAGGCCTGTCTTTTAACGAATCAACTCAGCCTACAGTGTCTTTCTCTTAATCAACAGTGTCTCCCTTCTTTTAACTCTATCTTTTAATAATTTCACTTATCTCCCCTTCATAATGTCTTTGTCTTAGTTATACATCTGGTAACAAAAGGCAGTCCAGTTCTTTGATTGACCTCACCTCGGACAGTACCTGGGATCAACAAAAGCCTTACTTGTTTCCTAAATCCTGCTTGAGGCCAAAAAGCGCTTCATCTCCATGGATTCCTTCCATCACCATCCCTCAGCCTTTCAAAATGACGCTGCGGGAAGCTCGCAAAAAGTCCCAGTTGGTGAAGTCATACATGTTTCTTGAACTAGACAAACAGAGAGACAAAAGGCAAAGCCAGGATGAAGCTGAATGTCAGAAACAATTCCGGGCACAGCCTGTACCTGCCCACGTGTTTCTGCCCCTTTATCAGGAATTAATGGAGCAAAATGAGACTCGCAGGCGAATAGCAACACAGAAAAGAAAGGAGCTGCTACTTTCAACCCAGCGGCCCTTCAGTTTCCTGGAGAAGGAAGAGAGAAAAAAAGAAGCTATCAGACAAAAGTTCCTGGCAGCAGCAACCCCAAATGAGAGCTCCAAACAGAAGCAAACCAGTAGAAAAGTTCCTAAATCTACTTATGACCCACTTCTTGGAGATAAACTTAAAGGTAAAAAGCCAGGAGTCTTCCTATAAAAACAACCCTCTGTGCATCCCTCGCTGTCTCCATGCTGGGAGGTAGGATCATGGCCCATAGGGCATTACTTGGGAGTGTAAAGCCAATATCATTACCTCTCCTGGTGTTGTCTAGTCTCCTGTATATCACTGGTCATTACATTTCATCTAGATACCCTTACAGTAGAGTATCCTAAATTTAGTAGTTCTGTATCAGTGTCAGCAGCAGCAGTTCTGTACCACTCCCCAGCACACATGAGTACACTGAGACAGATTTCCATACCCCTTTTGCTGCAAATCATGTCAGTTTGGGAATCCTTCCCTGCACTGGATCCCATACGTTTGGTTATGCTAAAAGGACTTAGATGATTTGGGGCACAAACATGAAGACAGATGTAGTGCCAGAAGTGTCCAAGCTCTATGCAGTGTCTTAGAACTGAAAATTTTACTCCCACCTAAGTCACAGACTTTTTAGAAACACAGAATCATTCAGGTTGGAAAAGACCCTTGGGATCATCAAGTCCAACCATCAGCCCTACTCTACAAAGTTCTCATCTACACTATTATCCCCCAAAATCTCATCTACACGACCCTTAAAACACATCCAGGGATGGTGACTTCACCATCTTCCTGGGCAGCCTATTTCACTGCCTGTCCACTCTCTGTGAAAATTTTTTTTCTAATGTCCAGTCTAAACCTCCCCTGTTGCAGCTTAAAAGCCATTCCCCCTTGTTCTATCGCTAATTACCTGTGGGAAGAGACCAGCACCAACCTCTCTACAGTGTCCTTTCAGGTAGTTGTTCTCCTCATCAAACTAAACAGTCCCAGCTCCAATAGCTCCTCATAGGATTTATTCTCCAGGCCCTTCACCAGTTTTATTGCCCTCCTCTGCACTTGCTCCAGCACCTCGATATCTCTCATACTGAAGTGCCCAAAACTGGACACAATACTCCAGGTGTGGCCTCACCAGTGCAGAGTACAAGGGGACTATCACCTCCCTACTTCTGGTGGTCACACTATTTCTAAGTATCTGTGCTGCACAGAACCCCTAGGAGAAAAATAGTTTGAGAGCCCAAATCACACAATTATTTGAGTTCTAAGTGATGGTACAGTAATCCAGTCTCTCCTGCTATTCTCTGATGTTTTCAGTCACCTTCCCACTTGCTCTCCACCTTTTTAAGTACTAAAACATGGGAAGTAGGTACCAGGACCATTCTAGCCAGAGGGACAACCAAGGAAATTTTCCTGATGTTTGCTTTCTTTCAGATGGCTTAAGCCCCAACAGTTGTAAGTTTAAAGTAAGCAATACAGACTTCATGCTTGAATATAGGAACTAAACCAATTCTTGCTAATTCTCATTGCTTTTTTCACCCCCTTTTTTTTTTTTTCTTCAGTTTCCTACTGATTTCTTCTTGAGTATACGCCAGTTCAGTTTTCATCAGAAAACATTCTGTTGTGGTGTACTAAACTAAATAAATTAGAAAGGTAAAAGCAAAAGACAAGCCATTGTTCTGTTTCTATCTGGTATATGAGAAGGAAGGAGGAATGAATATTTCATACCTCAATGCAAACTTATAAATAGACTCAAGGAACCAGTCTTATTTTGCAAACAGCAAAAACCCAACCCACAGGCAACTGTCTGCATTTTCACAAATATTTAGTGTTGCATGGGAAAGGCCTCAGTTTCATGCTATACCCTGAAACACAGTCTTTCTATGGAAAGTTTGTCACAGAAGTCACAAGACATGATCCATTCACCAAATGCTACTTACTTAAAATCTTTTCCAATATAGACAAACACTGCTGGACATTACATGGAAAAGCCCCCAGCTGTTACAAGTCTATGGGAACAGCCCATTTGGACCACACAGTCAGCATAACAACAGAAAGTCCCATATGAAAAGTAAAACCTCGATTAACACAACACTTCTGCAAGACAAAGGGCACAACTTATCTGGTACCTCTAAGAATAGGAGGAGAAGGCCTGTTCAGTAACATACTCTGATAAGTGAAAGAGGCATCTAGTGATGATGCCTAAGAAAGAGATGCTACTGTGTTTTTTCTGGTACCTGATTTTTTTTTTTTTTTCCCTGGGAGGCAAAGGAGAGAGAGAGGCTGGAAAGTGGGGAAAGAGAGCACAGGATGTCTGGTCCCTCCTATATATGTAGCTGCCATCAAAAAGTTTGGGAGTTGTGCAGTGGCAATTTTACAGCCTTTTATGTCACTCATACTCTTCTCATTGCTTTGCTTTTGATTCATTAGAAGCTGAACTCTACAGAGAAATCCGCATTCAGATGAGAGCAAAGGATTTGCTTGAGCTCTCCGTAGCTCCTATAGATACTAGCAACTGTCGAAGGGCGCCTCAGTCCCGAACTGCCACTAAAACTAAGCAAGAAAGACTTGGCTTCTTGGAGGATAAAAGTTTCAGTTTCAAGCCAAGGACTAATCCAACAATACCAGATTTTGAAGGACTTTACTGGGCATTTCAGAGGGAAGCAGTAAGGAGACGAGAAATCAAAGAGGCAACTCGTAATAAGCCATTCAAGTTAAGAACCTCCAATCTCCATGGCAGGCAGAGGCAGGCTAATGAAAAGATAAAGGTGAGATGACTGGATATTTCTGT